CAATCGAGATGATCTAATTGCCCCTGGGTCTCAGAGGATAGTGCCAATTATAGACCCCATCTGAGCCACTTTTGGGCAAATATGTAATTTTCGCGATCCCAACTTAGTCATTTTCCATTACGTATCTTCCTTATCAATCCTTTAAATAGGTCATCCTAAAATGAATTGACCCATTTTTTAAATTGAATGAAGAACATTTTACTTTTCACCTACAGTTCAAACATTCTGGTACGTTTGCTAACCATAATGAAGAACTGTCTGAAAAATCACAAAATTTGCGACCCCATTCTAGTAGTCTGTTGAAAATGCGACCTTCTTATAGTCAATCCAGTCGTGAAAATGCAACCCCATCCAGTGGCACATCCCCATTAGCCTCTTTTAAGGAAGTACCCCCCTCCCCAGGGAAAATTCCCTAAGTGCCACTCTAAAATGCGAAGGTAGAGTGGTCTCTTATGGGAGATGGTCACTAATGTCCAATATGTGTACTGATACTGAACTGAATTAAATGCAATTTCAAAACTATAAGATAAGGAGTGGCATGAGACTAAAAGCTCCAAGAGTGCATTCCTGAGATAATCTGGATCAGGATCATTGTTTCGAGAACCCTCCGATCATGATGCATCAAAGGACCTGATGAATCCTTGCCCAGAGTGGATTCATCATTCCTTTGGCACAACATGATTCAAATCAAATGATCACCAATCACTGAGCCCCAAAACAATGCACTCTAAAAAGTTGCATAGTACAGTACAACAAACACAAATATCAGACTTTATATCAAGGAGTGTCTTACAGGAGGTAAAAACAATGGAAAATTCTAAAACTGCCATCCCCAACCATGGTCACCGTCACTTGCAAGAGGCGGTCATTTATGAGAAGTTCCAGCCATAGAAAGGCGCGTTAACCTTTTTGGATAGATAGTTGCTTTTGGAAGTGGTATCTTACAGGAGGTTTAATTTTCTCATCCCTTGTTTCCTGAGTCACCTGGAGCTAACACTTTTATAGCAAGTATTTTTATCTGTAAGCTTGCAAATTTCTTCTACCAGTACCTCTCTGTCTGTACCAGTACCTCTCTGTTAGAGAGCGTGCATAACATACCCATAAGAAAATATTGGGGTGTAAGAGAAACTCTAGAGAAGGTAGCAGCTGCCCGAAAGGCTATTAAAAAATCCTTTTTCTCCTCTTCCTCTTAGGCATAAAAGTGGTTTCTTAGGAAGAATAAGCCATTTTATAGTTAACAGTGGAAACTGATAGACATACACTATAACGATCAAACATTATGAATTTCAGGCCAAGGCCAGGGTCCTGCACGTCAGGCTGCATTGCATGCTGGGATCCCATCATCTGTACCAGCATATGGTGTGAATATGTTATGTGGGTCAGGATTAAAGGCTGTGGCACTTGGTTATCAATCTGTATCCAGTGACAAAACTTCTATTGTTGTTGCTGGTGGTCAAGAAAGCATGAGTCAGGTAAGTATGAGCCTGTGAAAATGGCCAACATTTTGCATTTTGCTTTGCTTCAACCAATCAGAAGCACTACCCAGATCTGTTAGTGACACGTCATCAGTAAGGAATTTCTGTGCTCATTCCTCAGATATCATTTCGTGGGGAAACCTGTGGCATTGCAAAAATTAATGTTGACTGTTTTCCTGGCTATGTAAATACACAGCTTACAATTTAACAAATAAATAAAATTTTCTTTCAAATGCATGCAAGGTCAGGTTAGACCGTGCAGGCCCCTCAATTGCCCATTCTGCCACCTGAGTCCTGGTGAACAAGTTTCATATACATGTAGGCTTGCAAAAATGTCTGGAAAGTCCTTAAATAGTAAACGTCTTGAAACTAGTGACGTTTTCTCCTTGAAATAATATAAATGCTGGAATTTTGGAATTTCTTTGCACATAAATGTTTTAATGTTGTAATCTAATGTGTAACTGTGCAGGACACCAGTTTTGGCACTTGTTTTTGCAAGTGTAAGATTGTCATGTACACAGAAAACTGAAGATCATAAGAAGTTGATGGCAGTTTTAGTGTCCAAAAAATATGGCTTATTGTAACTGAAAAACTGAACCTAAGAAAGTTCACTAAAAGTGACAACTCTATTTTTGAACTGTCCATTTATTTAGTGAAATTGGCAGATCAGAAAGCAATATGGAACAGTTTAATGCGAAATCAGCAAATGGTCACGTAAGCTAATTTGGCTGGAACTTTGGGAGTTTAGACAAAGGACCCATAACTACAGGCTAATTTCTAATAAATATACTATACCGTTACTGTCACATTTTCAGGCCCCGCACTGTTGCCATATGAGGTCACCACTAAAGATGGGTGATGTTAAACTTGTGGACTCTATGATGTTAGATGGTCTTATTGATGCATTTCATGACTATCACATGGGAATTACAGGTAAGAAAAATGGTCAGCGCTATAAATGAGACATCAAAATATTTCATATGGAAGACAAACAATTTTTCATTGCATTTTGTTTTTCAAAAACAAAACCACAGGTTTTTGAAAGCTTAATAATTAAATCAAACTTTTGTTGGAATTGTTGAGAGACAAGCTGCTTAAAAACCTTCCATCTACAGGCTGTAAAGCCCCCTTGAAGTTAAAAATGACCAAAAAGGCATACCATTTCACAAACTCCCAAAACATTAGTTCGTAAGAGATGTTTCAAATACATTTTTCAGCTGAGAATGTTGCAAAGCAGTGGAAAGTCAGCAGGCATGAACAAGATCAGTTTGCTGTTATGTCTCAAAACAGAGTAGAGAGGGCACAGAAGGATGGCCACTTTAATCAAGAGATTATCACCATTCCTGTGAAAATAAGAAAAGGTAAGAAAAAAGATAAGAGACAAACTTTTTAGATTTCTTGTAGAGTAGACCACAGATTTCTTAGTTGAAAGATATTAGCTTGAACTGATGTTAAAAGTAGTAGCTGAGTTCTACATATGCTTCTGTTGCTTGTAGATAACATCCTGTTTATGACTAATTCACTGTAAAAGCATTTTTGCAAGAATTTATCACGCGTAGAATTAGACTGCCAAACAGCCTGTACTTTTGCGCAGGTCTAGAACACGCAAGCAGTCAAGCAAAAGTCTTTATTTTCAAGCAAGTGTGAAAATGGAGTATGGTACTAAGGAGAGACTGACTTTTGGTTGATTCTTTTTAGCTACAATGAAATTCGCTTATTTAATGCAGTTTAGGTCTCTTCTGCTAAGATAAAGAAAAAAGGACAGAAACACGCGAAAAAGCAAAGAAAAAAAGAGACAAAATGAAAGTGTATTCAATACAAAGATTATTTTAACTACTTGCAATATTGTCAAATAGACTGTGTTCACTTACAGGTACAATAGAAGTCAAAGAAGATGAATTCCCACGTCATGGTACCACAATGGAGGGCCTAGCTCGTCTCAAGCCTTGCTTTCTCCAAGATGGCACAGGTACAGTGACTGCTGGGAATGCCTCAGGAATCAATGATGGCTCTGCGGCAGTTGTGCTCATGACATATGCAGAGGCAACCAAAAGTGATGTGGCACCCCTGGCTCGTATTGTCTCCTGGGGTCAAGCGGGTGTGGACCCATCTGTGATGGGTACAGGGCCCATTCCTGCCACTCGGAAAGCTGTAAGTTGGTATGACAGTTATTGTTTGGAGGTTGCTCGTGAGCATAAATAGTATAGACCTTTTTACGGTTTTTTCAACTTTTGAAATGGACAAGTTAGGGGAAACCGTCAACACCACTGAAAGAGCGCCTTAATCGAGCAAAGATAGAGCTTCGCAAAGTTGCGAAAATTTACAGACGTTTGTATGGTGGGGGGCAAGTTTTGAGCTCCCCTACATACAAACGTCTGTAAAAATATGAACATTAAAATGTTTTGTCTCATTGGCTCACTGCACAAAGAGGATTTTGATTTTAAGGAGGAATGTTTGGCATCAGCGGTAGAAGTGTCAGAAGTCGCGTGGGTAAAGTTTTCGCTTCGAATGTTTCTTTGATCGCTTTTTCACTAAAGATATGTTGCAGTTGTCACAGTTGTATTTCCAATAACTTTGTTTTTTCGTTAATAGCTATTTTCGGCAGCAATCAAGAATAGCTTCTTGTTCCAACGCCAGGACCGCATTACTTTCACATTTAAAGCGATCTTTCAAGAATCATACTAAAGATATTTTGTCTCCTTTTCTTTCATCTGCAGCTTCAAAAGGCCAACTGGAAAATTGAGGATGTTGACTTGTTTGAGCTAAATGAGGCCTTTGCAGCTCAGTCATGTGCTGTTATTAAAGATCTGGGACTTGATCCGCAAAAGGTACTTTAAACAAAAACATACATGAAACTCTTGCCTGTGGACCCCTCGTTATCTGGCAAAATTACAGAAGTTGGAGTGACAGTAATCCTTATCCTTTTATTACGGACTCACGGACACCGGCATTTTCCCGCACAATAGAGATGAATTATCCCCATCAGGCAGGTTATCCGTCGGATAATCCGTGTCAGACGGATACTGATCTGTCTTAATGAGATCAAACGGACGGTTTTCACACATTGGACCAATAGTCTGTCCGTTCATCCGTCCATTTTGTCGGATTTAAAAAGACGGATTATCATCACTTTGTCTTTTCTCTTGGATTTATTACTCTTCTTTGCAGCGCATAATCTAAAACTGGTGTAAATGAAAATACAAGCCACGCCTTTTATGCAAATGTTTTTTGAGCAAATTCTTTTTGTACCTCAGTATTGTTGGTAGTGACGAAAATTTATAGTGATTCCCTACACTATTAAAAACATCGTCAAAATAATCACTAAGCACAAGAGCCATAAGCATCATTATCATACATTGTACTCGCTATCTGTTTTCTCATTGGTTAAGAGCTTACAGCTAATTTTGGAAATCAGAGAAGCAATGGCGGCAAGTTCGGGTTATAATGATTCGGATATTGTCATCGTAGCAGCGGGAAGAACGCCAATTGGGAACTTAAATGGTTGTCTTAGTTCTCTGAAAGCTCATGAACTGGGATCCATGGTTATTCGAGATGTTTTATCTCGTGCAAAGGTCTCGCCTTCTGACGTGTCAGAAGTGATCATGGGACAAGTTTGCACCGCAGGTTAGGAAAGTTTCTGATATTGTCCACATATTCAATTTTTTTTTTCGATCTTTCAGAAGCAATCTCCTCTTGTTTCTAAGGTGTGGGTTATTGAGCCCAACTGTTCGAAAAAACTCATTACTTTAACTACTAATTTGTTTTCTGTACCAAACTTTAAATTTTAGATTTGTTTGTTTTAAGAGTTTCAACAGACTACTGAAATAAATATTGACGCACCGGTGAGGTTTAGATAATTCAGGTTAAGTTCGCTGGATATCTCGCATTTTTTTTCCAGTTTCATGGTCCTTTATATGCTTCATCCAGAGGGTTCGAATTTTTTTAGTGGAAATCATGGTAGTGTTGGTGGGTTGTGGTGTGTTGGGTAAGGGTTTTAGTACAGTCGAAAATTCCCCCGGAGGGGGGGGGTACTTGGGTTATTTTCGGTTGGTCTGTCAGAGCCCCTTGCCCATAATAGTCTATTCTGTGACCAATTATAGGCCCCATCTTAGTCACTTTTGGGCAAATATGTAATTTTCGCGGTCACTTTCCATTTTTTCCAGTTTCCTGATCCTTTATATGCTTCATCCAGAGGGTTCGAATTTTTTTAGTGGAAATCACGGTAGTGTTGGTGGGTTGTGGTGTGTTGGGTAAGGGTTTTAGTACAGTCGAAAATGTACTTGGGGTTAATTTTGGCTGGTCTGTCAGAGCCCCTTGCCCGTAATAGTCTATTCTGTGGCCAATTATAGACTCCATCTTAGTCACTTTTGGGCAAATACGTAATTCTCGCTATCCCAACTTAGTCACTTTCTATTTACATGTATGTATCTACCTTATCAATCCTTTAAATAGGTCATCCTAAAATGAATTGACCCATTTTTTAAGTTGAGTGAAGAACACTTTACTTTTCACCTACAGTTCAAACATTCTGGTACGTTTGCTAACCGTAAAGAAGAACTATCTCACCCTAAAAATCAGAAAATGTGCGACCCCATTCTAGTAACTCTATCAAAAATGCAAACCCATTATGGTCATTCCAGTCGTGAAAATGCGACCCCATCCAGCGGCACCTCCCCACTAGCCTCTTATAAGGAAGTAACCCCCCTGCACCACTGGGGAAAATTCCCTAAGCGACCACTCAAAATGCGAAGATAGAGTGGTCTCTTATGGGAGATGGTCACCAATGTCCAACACGTGTACTGATATTAAATTGAATTTAAATACAATTTCAAAACTACAAGATAAGCAGTGACATGAGACCAAAAGTTCTGAGAACCCTTGGATCATGACACATCAAAGGACCTTATGAATCCCTGCCCAGAGTGGATTCATCATTCCTTTGGTACAACATGATTTAAATCAAATGATCACTGATCACTGATCCCCAAAGGAATGCACTCTAAAAAGTTGCATAGTACCATACATGCCAACTCTGCAGGATTATCCGGGAATCTCCCAAATACAGCACTGATCTCCTGCTCTCCCATACAGGTCACCATATCTCTCGGATAAAATCATCTTTTGAGCTTTCTGTGCCTTAGGTTGAGATTCAGCCCATTTTTAGCCCAAAAGTTGAATTTTTCTTAATTGCAGTACGGTTTCTGGGAAATTTTTGCACGTATTTAGTCACTGTCTAAGATTATTTCTGGCATTAAAACAATGATTTCGAATTTTGATAGTGTGTAATTCATGTAAGATTTCGTATAATACATGTCCTAAGTCATTCCCATTGGGAGTGGGGGGGGAAGGGGTCCAATAAAATTCTGTGGGGGGAGTAGTGAAAAAAAAGAGAGCCTCACGACTTTAGATCTCCAGAGGTTGGCATCTTTGTGGTACAGTATAACAAACACAAATATCAGACTTTATATTAAGGAGTCTCTTACAGGAGGTAAAAACAATGGAAAATTCTAAAACTGCCATCCCCAGCCATTGTCACAGTCACTTGTAAGAGGCGGTCATTTATGAGAAGTTCCAGCCATAGAAAGGCGCATTAACCTTTTTGGATAGATGGTTGCTTTTGGGAGGTGGTATCTTACGTGAGGTTTTCTCATCCCTTGTTTCCTGAGTCACCTGGAGCTAACACTTTTATAGCAAGTATTTTTATCTCTAAGCTTGCAAATTACTTCTTCTAGTGCCTCTCATAGTTCACAGATAATCTGAGTTCTGTTAGAGAGCCTGCATAACATACCCATAAGAAAATATTGGGTTGTAAGAGAAACTCAAAAAGGAGGTAGCAGCTGCCTGAAAATCTTTTAAAAAAATCCTTTTTCTCTTCTTCCTCTTAGGGATAAAAGTTGTTCCTTAGGAAGAATAAGCCATTTTATAGTTAACAGTGGAAACTGATAGACATACACTATAATGATCAAACATTATGAATTTCAGGCCAAGGCCAGGGTCCTGCACGTCAGGCTGCATTGCATGCTGGGATCCCATCATCTGTACCAGCATATGGTGTGAATATGTTATGTGGGTCAGGATTAAAGGCTGTGGCACTTGGTTATCAATCTGTATCCAGTGACAAAACTTCTATTGTTGTTGCTGGTGGTCAAGAAAGCATGAGTCAGGTAAATATGAGCNCAGGAGGTAAAAACAATGGAAAATTCTAAAACTGCCATCCCCAGCCATTGTCACAGTCACTTGTAAGAGGCGGTCATTTATGAGAAGTTCCAGCCATAGAAAGGCGCATTAACCTTTTTGGATAGATGGTTGCTTTTGGGAGGTGGTATCTTACGTGAGGTTTTCTCATCCCTTGTTTCCTGAGTCACCTGGAGCTAACACTTTTATAGCAAGTATTTTTATCTCTAAGCTTGCAAATTACTTCTTCTAGTGCCTCTCATAGTTCACAGATAATCTGAGTTCTGTTAGAGAGCCTGCATAACATACCCATAAGAAAATATTGGGTTGTAAGAGAAACTCAAAAAGGAGGTAGCAGCTGCCTGAAAATCTTTTAAAAAAATCCTTTTTCTCTTCTTCCTCTTAGGGATAAAAGTTGTTCCTTAGGAAGAATAAGCCATTTTATAGTTAACAGTGGAAACTGATAGACATACACTATAACGATCAAACATTATGAATTTCAGGCCAAGGCCAGGGTCCTGCACGTCAGGCTGCATTGCATGCTGGGATCCCATCATCTGTACCAGCATATGGTGTGAATATGTTATGTGGGTCAGGATTAAAGGCTGTGGCACTTGGTTATCAATCTGTATCCAGTGACAAAACTTCTATTGTTGTTGCTGGTGGTCAAGAAAGCATGAGTCAGGTAAATATGAGCCTGTGAAAATGGCCAACATTTTGCTTTGCTTCAACCAATCAGAAGCACTACCCAGATCTGTTAGTGACACGTCATCAGTAAGGAATTTCTGTGCTCATTCCTCAGACATCATTTCATGGGGAAACCTGTGGCATTGCAAAATGTTGACTGTTTTCCAGGCTATGTAAATACACAACTTACAATTTAACAAATAAATAAAATTTTCTTTCAAATGCATGCAAGGTCAGGTTAGACCATGCAGGCCCCACAATTGCCCATTCTGCCACCTGAGTCCTGGTGAACAAGTTTCATATACATGTAGGCTTGCAAAAATGTCTGGAAAGTCCTTGAAAAGTAAACTTCTCGAAACTAGTGGTGTTTTCTCCTTGAGATAATAATTGCTGGAATTTTGGCATTTCTTTGCACATAAATGTTTTAATGTTGTAATCTAATGTGTAACCGGCAGGACACAAGTTTTGGGACTTGTTTTTGCAAGTATAAGATTGTCGAGTACACAGAAAACTGAAGATCATAAGAAGTTGATGGCAGTTTTAGTGTCCAAAAAATATGGCTTATTGTAACTGAAAAACTGAACCTAAGAAAGTTCACTGAAAGTGACAACTCTATTTTTGAACTGTCCATTTATTTAGTGAAATTGGTGGATCAGAAAGCAATATGGAACAGTTTAATGCGAAATCAGCAAATGGTCACATAAGCTAATTTGGCTGGAACTTTGTGAGTTTAGACAAAGGACCCATAACTACAGGCTAATTTCTAATAAATATATTATACTGTTTCTGTCACATTTTCAGGCCCCACACTGTTGCCATATGAGGTCACCACTAAAGATGGGTGATGTTAAACTTGTGGACTCTATGATGTTAGATGGTCTTATTGATGCATTTCATGACTATCACATGGGAATTACAGGTAAGAAAAATGGTCAGGACTATAAATGAGACACCAAAATATTTCATTTGGAAGACAAAATTTTTCATTGCATTTTGTTCTTCAAAAACAAAACCACAGGTTGTTAAAGGAGAGCTCTGTGTCAAGAAATTCAGCCAAATTAGGAAATTACAAAATGCCCATTAACTTAAGAGAAACATAAAAATAACGGCTTAAAACTTTAAAGGAAGGTTAAAATAACGTAATAGAAACAACAGATGGCACGGATGGGCAAAACTGAAGAAGATTGAAACAGATTGAAATTAGGGTTTTTGAAAACTGTTCAGCCTAACAGTTTTTCAAAGTTGATCCCTGCTGCTTGCAACTTCAAAAATAATGCTCAGGAGACATATTTGTTTGTCACGGATCTCTGATTTTGTCATTTACGTGTAATTTCTTTGCTTACTTTAAGTTCCATAGCGATTGAGGGCAAGAAATTGGCGAAATTAAACAAAATAAACTGGACTGCCATGACACAGCCCCTTTAAAAGATTTATTTTAAAAGCAAACTTTTATTGGAATTATTGAGAGACAAGTTGCTTAAAAACTTTCCATCTAAAACCTCCTTGAAGTTAAGAATGACCAAAGTAGCATAGCATCACTCAAACTCCCAAAACATTAGTTCATAAGAGATTTTTCAAATACATTTTTCAGCTGAGAATGTTGCAAAGCAGTGGAAAGTCAGCAGGCATGAACAAGATCAGTTTGCTGTTATGTCTCAAAACAGAGTAGAGAGGGCACAGAAGGATGGCCACTTTAATCAAGAGATTATCACCATTCCTGTGAAAATAAGAAAAGGCAAGAAAACAGATAAGAGACAAACTTTTTAGATTTCTTGTAGAGTAGACCACAGATTTCTCAGTTGTAAGATATTAGCTTGAACTGATGTTAAAAATAGTAGCTGAGTTCTCCATATGCTTCTGTAGCTTGTAGATAACAACCTGTTTATGAATAATTCACTGTAAATGCATTTTTGCAAGAATTTAGCACGCATAGAGTTAGACTGCCAAACAGCCTTTTCCTTTTGCACAGGTCTAGAACACGCAAGCAGTCAAGCAAAAGTCTTTATTTACAAGCAAATGTGAAAATGGAGTGTGGTACTAAGGAGAGACTGACTTTTGGTTGATACAGGAAGTCTCCTTTTCAGCTACAATGAAATTCGCTGATTTAATGCAGTTTAGGTCTCTTCTGCTAAGATAAAGAAAAAAGGACAGAAACACGCGAAAAAGCAAAAAAAAAAGAGATAAAATGAAAAGTGTATTCAATACAAAGATTATTTTAACTACTTGCAATATTGTCAAATAGACTGTGTTCACTTTACAGGTACAATAGAAGTCAAAGAAGATGAATTCCCACGTCATGGTACCACAATGGAGGGCCTAGCTCGTCTCAAGCCTTGCTTTCTCCAAGATGGCACAGGTACCGTGACTGCTGGGAATGCCTCAGGAATCAATGATGGCTCTGCGGCAGTTGTGCTCATGACATATGCAGAGGCAACCAAAAGTGATGTGACACCCCTGGCTCGTATTGTCTCCTGGGGTCAGGCGGGTGTTGACCCATCTGTAATGGGTACAGGGCCCATCCCTGCCACTCGGAAAGCTGTAAGTTGGTGTGACAGTTTTTGTTTGGGGGTTGCTAGTGAGCATAAATAGTATAGACCTTTTCACGGTTTTTCAACTTTTGACACGGACAAGTTAGGGGAACCGTCGACACCACAGAAAGAGCGCCTTAACCGAGCAAAGATAGAGCTTCGCAAAGTTGCGAAAATTTACAGACGTTTGTATGTTGGGGGGCAAGTTTGACCTCCCCTACATACAAACGTCTGTAAAAATGTGAACATTAAAATGTTTTGTCTCATTGGCTCACTGCACAAAGAGGATTTTGATTTTAAGGAGGAATGTTTGGCATCAGCGATAGAAGTGTCAGAAGTCGTGTGGGTGAAGTTTTCGCTTCGAATATTTCTCTGATCGGTGTTTCACCAAAGATATATTACAGTTGTCACAGTTGTATTTCCAATAACTGTATATTTCGTTAATAGCTATTTTCAGCATCAATCAAGAATAGCTTCTAGTTCCAACGCCAGAACCGCGTTACTTTCCCATTTAAAGCGATCTTTCAATAATCATACTAAAGATATTTTGTCTCCTTTTCTTTCCTCTGCAGCTTCAAAAGGCCAACTGGAAAATTGAAGATGTTGACTTGTTTGAGCTAAATGAAGCATTTGCATCTCAGTCATGTGCTGTTATTAAAGATCTGGGACTCGATCCGCAAAAGGTGCTTTGAATAAATACATACATGAAACTCTTGCCTGTGGACCCCTCGTTATCTCGCAAAATTACAGAAGTTGGAGTGACAGTAATCCTTATCCTTTTATTACGGACTCACGGATACCGGCCTTTTCCCGCACGATAGAGATGAATTATCCCCCTCAGACAGGTTATCCGTCGCATAATGCGTGTCAGACGGATACTGACCTGTCTTAATGAGATGAAACGGACGGTTGTCACACATTAGACCAATAGTCTGTACGTTTATCCGTCCACTTTGTCGGATTAAAAAGACGGATTATCCTTGTTTTATCATCACTTTGTCTTTTCTCCTGGATTTATTACCCTTCTTTGCAGCGCGTAATCTTAAACTGGTGTAAATGTAAATACAAGCCACGCCTTTTATGCAAATGTTTTCTGAGCAAATTCTTTTTGTGCCTCAGTATTGTTGGTAGTGACGAAAATTTATAGTTATTCCCTACACTATTAAAAACATCGTCAAAATAATCACTAAGCACAAGAGCCATAAGCATCATTATCATACATTGTACTCGCTATCTGTTTTCTCATTGGTTAAGAGCTTACAGCTAATTTTGGAAATCAGCGCAACCTACAGATTAGTTTTAGTTATCTGCTAGCAGATAACTGACTAATCTGTAGGTTGCGTGCGCAATGAATGATTTCCAATAACAATATCAATGCAGCTTCTTTGCGACGGTGTGTTTGTCGTTATTTTCTTCATAACAATGTATAATAAAACAATTATTAGATTTGGTTTTTGTGATATCCTAAATAATCAAGGTCTCGGTAAGTGTCATCAGCCTCGGCCTTCGGCTTGGCTGATATCACTTACCTCGACCTTGATTAATCCGTATATCACAAAAACCTCATCCAATAATTGTTTATTATCAACACTCACAGCAATGTGACTTATTGTTATTTTAATAATGTATTTTCAGGTCAATGTCAGTGGTGGCGCTATAGCTCTTGGACACCCAATAGGAGCGTCCGGATGTAGAATTCTTGTTACTCTGTTGCACGGTTTAAAACGGACAGGTGGGAGAAGAGGGGTAGCTGCTCTTTGTATTGGCGGTGGCATGGGTATTGCTATGTGCGTGGAAAGGTTATGATTAGAACTGGTACGCAAAGAGGACGTTGTGATTGGCCGCAATTTGTGATTGGCTTTGAATGGATGAAAAACCTCGGGCGACTTTTTCAGCCAATCAAAAGTAAGACCTAAGTCACTCGTGACATCACTTGCGCGTTTTCCCGCGCTTAAATTAGCGCCAGCTGCGAGTATTCACCTCGAAATGTGATTGGTTAATTTGATTGTCAGATCGCAGTGTGATTGGCTAAAGTAATAACTGACGTTTTTCTGTTTCAAACTGGCGGGAAAATCTCCGTTTTCAGACAAAAACGGATACGTGTGGACGGGGCCTTAATAACTACGACGTGAAACTTCCTAATGCGACAAGGAGGACAGGTGAACAACCCTCAAGAATTTAACTCCAGGAAAATTCGCACACATTTGACAAAGTTAGAGATGCTAAATAAACGCGATAAAGTTTGAATGAACGCAAAGTGTAGTGACGTTTTCACTGCTGTCTTCCTTGTGGTTACTTAAGCAGTTAAGCTTCCTTATGCCTAACTTCACGTTAAAACCATTGAAAGTTGGTCTTATAAGATTTCCATGTCCATGGTGTGAATTCTTTCGTGAAGTTCTATGGTCACTATAACCGTTGTGGCTTCACGTTGAACATTTGTTGTCACTGTTTTGCATAGAAGAGCAGAGAAAATGTACCAAACTATAAAAAGCACGTGACCAGAAGTATGTTTTACTAATCAATGCTACGTTCACATTGCACCGGACGAATTTTTGACCGGTTGAAAATTTTGACAAGATACTTCGTTCACAAGGGAACAAAACAGAAACAACAAACGAACGGAAATAGAGCGATTTGATTGGTTTATCGAACGGATACAAACTCGCGTGGCTTTTGGTTGGTTAAGCGAAAACTCGGGTGAAAAAACTTCATGCTTCGAACTTTCTAGAAATCAATCGATACTTCGCTTTGACGTCACACTGCAACTCGATTGGGCAATCGAACAATGCCTTCTCAATGTTAGGGTTTTCTTTGGCGGGAAAACGAAGAGTCCATGTTTTCCATCTTTTCATCCATTGGCTGATAAAATAAATAACGGACACTTAACGAAACCATTTTCAAGGTTATACGAAAATCGCTCTTTTCGCTCTGTTCACACGGAAATTGGAATAACTGGGCGTCTAAATTCTCCTATGGTGCTCATGTCTGAACGGAACACCTAAACAAACGAATTTTCAACCGGTCGAAAATTCTTCTCGTGCCGTGTGTATCTTAGCTCACTCACGTTTAAAGGCGGCCTCGTTAGTGGTCATTATACTGTACAGAATGGGCGCTTTCCATTTCCTTGGCCAAATCGTTCACGGTTTAAGCAAAAGAAAACCAAAATTCAGGACTAGTAAATTTTTATCGCGGAATCGCGTTTATCATTTGCACAAATCTGTTCCATTAACCGAAAAACGGCCGCGAAAGCCTGAAACTGGTATCAAAGATAGGTTTGAAAAAACTAGAACACGAATTTCTGTTTGGAATATTCCGTGCGGAACAACAAGACTACATTTTCAGATGTTTCGTTGCTCCCCGAAATTTTACACTGGAACGACCCGTAAACTCGTGTTCCATGTACATTTTGGTAAATGGAAGGCGCCCAATGTTTCGGAGATTTTGCTTGTTTTCAGTTTAGAAGTTCGCGCTTTTTCGCAACAGGACGCGTCTAAAGTGGGTTGTTGAGTTTCAAGATTGAATCAAACAGCACACCTGTGATTCTTAAAGATTTATTTTCATATTTATCAAAGTACAAATATTTGTACAAAGGAAGGTATTTACAGTAAGGTAATTATATAATTTTTCTTATTGTTATGTTCTAAAGAACTCATTCTTCCATGGCAAGGAATTTTGGGCTAAAAAGTCAAATAAAGTATGAACAGTATAAAGTGCAGCTTTTTGTTTCACAAGAAAAGTACAATTTTGCCTCTGCCAGATATAGATATTGAGTCCTGCAGTAGCTGTGTTACGTGGGACTACGACTTAAAAAAAAAGACTATATGGTGCCACATATGGTGTGGGAGTTGGGTGGAGATATTTCGTGTAGCGTTATATGACGGCGAATCTGAACTGTATTCATAACGATTACTTGAAATACGTGCTTGACGTTACTTCGCGATCACATGCGCAATGAGACAAATATCGCTTTGCTTCTTTGCTTCTTAGGCCCCGTTCACACGTATCCGGATATTTCCCATCCGTTGCCATCCGTTTTCCGAAAATACAAGTCCACACTTACGAAAACGTTAAACAATGGAAATAATATAGCATCCCTCACAGAACATGCGCTGTGCTACTAGTAAATGATGTGTATGACATCATCGTATTCGGAAACCTCCGTTTTCGTCCATCCACATTTAAGCGAATAGACAGCGTTTTTAAGAAACTTCACTCTGGAGAGCGTTTTGAAAAGATGCGTTTTCGGTGAACGTTTTCACCGAATACGTGTGGACGGAAGACAAAACAAAAACGGATGCGTGTTGACGGGGCCTCAGAGTGCTTTTAGACCTTTTAGTTAACCCATGAAATAGATAGTACACTACTACGAACTATTACTCTCTAATTGACTACTCCAGAAAATACCATAACATACAATAATGCTCTTTGTTTGTCACCCTAAAATTTTGCAGAAGCATTGTTTTCAGTTTCTCTTAGGGCCACTTTAAGTCCCAAGAGAAAGTGAAGACAATGCTTATGCAAAATTTTGAGGTGACAAACAAAGAGGATTATGGTATGTTATGGTGTTTTCTGGAGTGGTCAATTCCACTCTTTTTTTTTTTACTTGTGACTATTTGGCACTGCTGAATTGTTACATATTGTTTCACGAGGTTAGTAAAATCACTCAACGACTCAAGTAGCACAATCCTAAACATTTGTTGAACTCGAATGTGTTTTGTAACTGGAATTTTTAGACCTTCTAGGTCAAACCGATCTTTAAAAATGCTCCTTTTTACAAAGTAATTTTTCAGTAAGAGCTTAGGGAAAGAAATCAGAACGTTATTGAAAGAGGATCAAGAGGTTGTTTACTTTTCCCTTTTTTGAGACGGAAATCTAATGCTACGTTTTCTTTCTCAAGTTTCAATTTATTTATTTTCTGTACACCGAACTGGGTAAGACTGGGGACCAACACTCATGGTCTGATTGTGTTGCTACATTAAAGTTATACTTGATCTCAAACCAGACCACTGAAATTAATTTTTAAGCCCCTGTTAAGAGAAACTTTAAAGACACCAAACGGTGCATAAAATGACGTTACAGGCCGGCAAAATAGCTGCTACTCAATAGCTTTTTTAACAAGTTATAAATATTGATTAACAAGCATATTTAAGATTTAAATAATCAGCAATGAAAACAATCAAAAATAAAATTACAATACTATATAAATTAAAGAGGCTGTGTGAAAACAGTCCAGTCCATTTGTGTAGCTTTTCCAAATACGCAGCCTTCCTCTCTGTGGAGCTTGACTTTAACGAAGAAATTAGGACTTGTAAATGACAATCACAGCTGATGAACAAATAAGGCCCCTTCAACACCAATGCATTTTCGTATGAAAACGTAGACCTTTCGATGCGTTTTGGGCTTCCGGTTCAGACTAGGCCGCTGAACGTCTTCATCGAAAACGCATCGATTTGAAAACGATCTTGAAAGTGGTTTCAAACGAAAACGCATACATATCGTATTCGTGTGGACGGTCGAAAACAGTTCATCGCAAATGCGTGTGTTAGTAGCATGCGCAGAGAATTCAACTTGACGTCGCAACTTGCAGTTCTATAGTTTTCGAACGTTTTAATTCGGACATTCGAAAATGCCTCAAAACGGTAGTGTGAACGCGAATAGATCGGTGCGAAAACGCATTAGTGCGGACAGGGCGTAAGTCGTGACCCCCAGTGTTACGTATATTTCATTTACAAACCACAGAGAGCTTCAATGAAAGCTTCAATTACTGGTATCCGTTTGCGTCTTTTTTGACGGCTGAACTGGGTGGATTTCACGAAACAGCCTCTTTAATGTAATCGATCCTGTCGATCTATGAAACTTATGATTAAATCTTACCTATCTATTTTCATTTAAATAATTATGTCTGGCTATCACTATTTTTCTTTTACCAAGAGTTTCGCAGAAACCTCAAAATAACTGTTTCAAACAGGTTCCTTTTTTCCTTGTGTGAGGAGTAATATTATTTACAATATATTTATCATAAATATTAGTAGTATGAAATTACTTTGTGTTTTCTTGTTCTTCGCAGTTCCTGCATTTCTGACACTGATTCAGCATCTCTTTACACTGTGTGCATTGTTTTGTTATATCTTGATCGTCCGATTCAAATTCGTCCTCGTCTTCTTCGTCACTGCTTTCGTTATCCCAATCTACCACCTGAATGGTGGCCTGAACTGGAAAATTCCGGAGAAGTGTTTCTCCTGAAGCGTACATATAATCGTACACAGCTTTGGTCCAAACTAACCTACGAAGCAAGTTGCACAACATTTAAGAGAAGAATCATTAAAATTAAGTTCTTACGGCGAACAAAAAGTGGGGAATTACCCCCCCCTCCCCCCCCCCTCACGACCGCCAAAATAAATGGTGACGAGCGACGCCGACTGATTTATGATTAGCTATGATTATACGCTGGTTTTCACTTGGAGTTGGAGTCGTAAACGGAGTCGTAAGAGCTCTCATGACCTTGTGAAAATCAAGAATCACAGTCTTTAGCAGCGTCATAAGCGCGACGGAATCGGAGTCGGTTAAATCAGAACGTTTCCATTACCTTCGAGTCCGCTTAGGATTCCATCGTTTACAATCTAGTGAAAACCAGATCGTCGGAGTTGTAAGCAAAAGCAAAGGGAAAACGCTTTGTCGTTGGTTTAGTTATTACGCTTCTCCTTGCGACTTCGACAATCTAGTTTTAAGTTGATCGTAAACGAGGGAGTCGTAAGCGGAATCAGAATGCTGTTTTCACTACATCGTTAAGTCCTACACCTCTGAACTCCGACTCCGTGGCAATTGAAAGCCAGCCTTATGCAAAAGCGCTCGCCGCTCGCTACTGATAAACTAGATCTCGT